TGGGCCTCCTGGGGACCTCCTGGAGCTTCCTCCTGGGCCTCCTGTGGCCTCCTGAACTCCACCTGAGGTTTCCTGAAGCATCTTGGGGCTCCCAGGGGGGATATCTAACCTGTGGCCGCTTGGGCCTCTCCAAATGGAGGGGGGGGCACAAGAGCAGGAAAAATCAACGAATCGACACCGGATGTGTATTAACTTGACACGTTCTGATAGAGGGCCTCCTGGGGCCTCCTGGGAATCTCCTGGGGGCCCCTGGGGCCTGTCCTGGGCGTCCTGCGGCCTCCTGGACCTCTCTGGGGCCTCCTGAGGCTCGCAGGGTCCCATGGAGGATATGTAACATGTGGCCTTCTGGGCCCCCAGGCTGGACCACCTCTTGCGCAGCATCTGAGAGCTCAGAGTTGCGAGAATATCTTGTGCGAAACAGGCCGGACCACCTTGCGCACGGCATCTCAGATCTCAGAGTTGCAAGGATTTCTCAGGCGAGACGGGCCGGACCACCTCGCGCAGGGCATCTCAGAGCTCAGAAGTTCGAGGATGTCTCAGGCGAAACGGGCCGGACCACCTCGCGCGCGGCATCGGGGAGATCAGAGTTTCGAGGATGTCTCAGGCGAAACGGGCCGGACCACCTCGCGCGCGGCATCTTGGAGCTCAGAGTTGCGAGGATGTCTCAGGCGAAACGGCCCGGACCACCTCTCGCGCGGCATCTGGGAGCTCAGAGTTTCGAGGATGTCTCAAGCGAAACGGCCCGGACCACCTCTCGCGCGGCCTCTCAGAGCTCAGATTTAGGAGGATGTCTCAGGCGAAACGCTCAATCCCGGACAACTCAGAAACGAGAGTTGTGAGGATGTCTCAGGCGAAACGGGCCGGACCACCACATTTGTTTGAGGATGTCTCTGCTTAGCTTTCCCTCGGCCGGAATTAGCTTCTATCACAACAGCACCCCGTTCAGCAAGCTGTTTGGGGAAAAACCAAGCCTCTGGACTTCGGAGATGCTCGCTTTGTCCTCGCCCGATGTTGTCCTCGCCCTGGCCTCGTCCTGCCCAGAGCTTCCGCGACGCCCTCCGTGGGGCCTGATGTCTGGGCCTCGTGCCCACCTCTCGTGGGCCCCTGGGGGCCCAGTGTCGGGCCCTGGAGGCCGAGACACGCCCGATGGAAGGAGACCCATCGTCGGATGTCTGGGGGTTCGAAAAGTCGAGTAGGGGATCGACTGCATAATTGATTCACCCCACAGTTGATCTGTTGGCCGAGTCCATGAGCACTTCGTAGGGTGATCGTACATCCACGAGCATGATACGTATGACTCGATGAGAAAAACGCTGGGGTCAATCAATTCTGTAGTCGATCGCCTCCTCAAAAAAAGGCACAGTCAACCCGCACAGTAAGGCTGAGCGGCTTTCCAAGGTCACCCTTACATCCTTCCCCTTCGGCCCGTCCTTGGCCGCCGACGCCGGTCGGGCCCCGCTGGCGAAGTGTCGACATGGCCTTCCAGGGCCCTTTGCACCCTTCTCGTGCGTCCCTATCGTTCGGGTTGACGGTGCCGATGCCGCTGCTGTCCAGGCCTCTCCCGGTGCGCACAGTCCATCCGATCGGGCTCCCGAGACGGCTCCGGCCGTGGAGGCGGGGGATCTTCCTGGACGAGCGGCGGCGTGGTTTGCGCTCTCCCGTTCCGAGTATGGAGGATGTAGGATCGAGCGGGTTGGGAGGTCGCAGTCTCGAGAGGCCGCGCCCCTGGGCGGGGCCGCTCCGCGTGGGACTCGCCGCTGGCGCCGGGGTAGCGGAAGTTCAGCTTGTCTTGGGCGGAGCTGCCCACGCTTGCACCCCCTTGGGGGGCGAGAAGAAGCCAAACCGCCCCAGTCTCGCTGCCGACGCCCAGGATCGAGCGGTGGATGGAGGGAATGGAGGTCGGACGGGTGTTTAGGGGGAGTGGCCTGAATTGGGGGGCCAAGAAGGGGGCCCTACAGGGGCCCTGTCGGGCCCCATTTGGACCCCTGTTGGCTCCTCAACGGGCCCTCCCTGAAGGGCCCCTTGAGGGCCCCTTTCTTCACCCCCCAGTGAGGTCCCCCCCAGTGAAACCCGCCCATGGAGGTTCAAGGATGCCAGACATCCGACGTCGTGATGTCTTACGCTGTGGCCCACCCGAGGTCTGGTCCCCTTCCCCGACCCTGGCTTCTCATCCCGACCTGCTTCCCTGATGGCCTCAGGGCCCGGGGCGGCTCCCCCGGAGGCCGAACGTCGCCATGGAGGAAACGGGTCCTGAGGTGAACGGGTCCTCAGGTTTTCCGCCGTTTGCGGGCTCCCGGGGCTCTCCACAGGCCCTGGGACTGTCAGAGAACGATCCAGGATGAAGAACTCGTTCTTGGGGAAGGCCCCAGGGTCCAGGACCCGTTTCCCTCGGACCCGGTTTCCCCATGCGAAGAAAATTGCCCAAAGCTCCCGTCGTGATTTGAGCGACGAAAGGAAATGTGGTCGGCGGCGCCGGCATTGGCGCGTAAGCTGCCAGCGTACGGTCGCGCGTAAGCGCCTTCGTCTCCAATGTGGGGTGCCGGGCTGGTGGCCCGCGCAAGCTGCGGCTCAAGGTCGCTATGCCATCTCGCGTAAGACCCGTGTCTTCTCGACCGAGCGAGGATCGAGGATCGAGCTTCGAGGTTCGAGGATCGAGGATCGAGGATCGGACAATGTCACGGCGCGAGGATCGAGGACCGAGCGCCACGCCCACGGGCGGGCCTTGTGTGCAGCTGCAAGGCTGGCGCCTTCGTAGGAGCAGTGTCCCGACGACGACGACGACGACGACGACGACGACGACGACGACGACGACGACGACGACGACGACGACGACGACGACGACGACGACGACGACGGCGCGCCCGCTGGCGGGAGCTCCGAGCTCCGAGCGCGAGCCGCGGCGCGTCCGCGGGGTTTGGGCGCGCCAATGACCGCCGCGCCGTGGCCGCGGATGTGCGCGCGCCCGGGCGCCGCGACGAGGCGCCGCCCGCGGGCCCCGAGGAGGTCCGAGGCTCGAGGAGGGAGGGGAGGGCAGGGGAGGGGAGGGGGGAGGGAGGGAGGGGGAGGGGGAGGGAGGGAGGGAGGGAGGGAGGGAGGGAGGAGGAGGAGGAGGAGGAGGAGGGGGGGAGGGAGGAGAGGAGGAGGAGGGAGGAGGTGAGGAGGAGGAGGAGGAGGAGGAGGAGGAGGAGGAGGAGGAGGAGGGAGGAGGAGGAGAGGAGGAGAGGAGGAGGAAGAGGACGAGGAGGAGGAGGAGGAGGAGGGGAGGGGAGGGGCAGGGGCAGGGGCAGGGCAGGGGCAGGTGCAGGGGCAGGGGTAGCGGCGGGGGGGGGAGGGGGAGGGGAGGGGGAGGGGCAGGGCAGGGGCAGGGGCAGGGGAGGGGGAGGGGGAGGGGGAGGTGGGGAGGGGGAGGGGGAGGGGGGTTACGGCCGACCAGCATCACTTCCCAGCCCCGCAGTAGTTGGCGCGTCCATGGTGCCTTTGAGAGAGCACGGAAGAGTCGAAGGGGTGTAGCGTTTATGCCTTCAATGGCATGCATGTCCTTGTATGTAGGGGCTGAGCTCTTAGCTCGCCCATCCCTGGACCCGTGCTCCGGGAGGCTGGCAATCCACTCATGGGTCTGGTTGGAAGGCATGCGGGCGGGCCTCACTGGAGGAGCTGGGGGCATGAGGGGGAACGTCAGGGGAGACCGGCCCAGGGGGGAAATATCAAGCCGGAGTCGCCGACGCATCGCCGCCAGGTCGTCGACAGGCTCCTGGTGGCGAACAGGCTCCGGACAGGTCGTCGAGAGGCACCCGACAGGTCGTCGGCAGTTTCCTGGGCGGAGTGGGCCGGCGGGCTATCGTTAGGTCGGGCATGTCCCTCTACAGGAGGAATACCAAAATAGTCAAACTAGTTTGGGGACGACTTTTTGAATATTGTTTGAACTATGTTTGGGGTATAATTTTTTCGTCCAAGGGGGCCCGACCTAAGGCTATCGGGCCCCATCCGCGACGAATGGGCGATCGGGGGCCGCTGCCCCCCGACGAGGGCCGCGGGGGAGGAGAGGGCGCCGGGAGGGGGGGGGGCGGGATCTGGGAATGGGTCGGGAGCCCTGAGACGGGGGTCACTGCAAACGGGGGTCAGCCAGAGCGCCCGATCTTGCAGGATCCTGCAGGGCCAGGGTCGCAGTGACCCGGGCTTGGCTGCAGGATCCTGCAGGATCCTGGAGGATCCTTCGCATTCACCCGGGTTTGTTTGCAGGATCTTGCAGAAATTCTGCAGGGCCTGGCTGACCCGGGTTTGGATTGACCCGGGCCAGGAGATCCCCGCATGGGGCCCGGAAGGGACAGTTCGCTGGCGCGTGGGGCAACCGCTGGGGCACCCATGCTGGATACAGTCAAAAACCCTAAGAAGGACGCGCGACTTTGCTCAGGGTACCCTTGCGTCCTTGCTCTTCCTTGCTCTTGCGTCCTTGAGGTTTTCGTCGTCCGCCGCCCCCAAATCCCAACTTCGGCTTCCAAGGGTCTTGCGTCCTTACCGCGCGTCCTTATTAGGGTTTTTGACTGTACTGATTGGGCACTTCGCCAGCACTTCGAGCAGTCACTGTTTCGGCACCCTCTGCGGTGCGCGAAATGCTTTCGGGCACGTCCCCTTGAGTCGGATAGGGGGTAGCGAAAAAACGTGGGTGAGCCCGAGTCTCCGGAGCGACCGCTGAGGCTGATGCTGACATGTGTGGGGCAAGGCTGAGGCGCGTGGGGCGACCGCTGTGGCGAAGAGGAACGTGGGGGGGGGGAGGCAGAGGGCACGAGTGGGTCAGGAGCTTTGCTGAGAGGAGGCTGGGCCCGAGTCTCCCCTGTATACTCGCAGGCAGGGTGAGTGTGGCGGCAAGGCTCTCCTTCCTTTATCCGCCTTGCCACCCCTCCTGCGTGCTCCCTCGATGCTGCCTCCTACCAGTTGTTGACTGTGCGCGGCATGGGAAACAGTACACGAGAGGACGGGGGAGGCGTCTGCGGCTTCCGCAGGCGGCTGGTGTGCGCGCTCGCCATCGGCCACAGCGGCGGGCGAGCGGTGCGCACACCCGCGGGGCGGGATCTCTCGCCTCTGCCGCCCCGCTGCCGCTGGAGCCCGTTTCTTTATTGCTTGGGGCATGACGGGCGTCATGGTCCCCGCCCCCCCCCCCCCCCCATGACGTAACGCTCCCCCCCCCGCCAGTGCGCTCCGGGCACTGCCGCCGTGCGTTTTGGGATCCGCGCAGGTGTCCGCGTAGGAATCCGCATAGTAGGAGTCTGGTCCGCAGTCGTCGTCGTCGTCGTCGTCGTCGTCGTCGTCGTCGTCGTCGTCGTCGTCGTCGTCGTCGTGGCTCGTCGTCGTCGTCGTCGTCGTCGCTCGTGGGTTGTCGCTTGTCGCTCATAGTCGTCGTGCGCGCGGACGCGGCTGAAGCCTGTTTTTTATCCCGGGCCAATGACGGCAATCATCTAGGGGGGGGTGGAGGGGGTCGATGTCGTCACGTTTCGCGCCGGCGGCGTGTGGGAATGCCTGGGAATGACGGATGACGGATCGTGCCAGCATGTAGGTGGCGATTTGCACCACAACGCCTGTGTACACCACAGTGCTTGCGTGCACCACAGCGCTCGTGTACACCACACAGCCTATGTACACCACAGCAGCCGCGTGCAACACTGCCTTAGTTTGTGCCACCGTGCCCGCAGGCACAACAACTGTTGTGCACACCACAGCGCTTGCGTACACCACATCAGCCGTGTGCAACACAGCACCAGTGTACACCACAATGCCTGCGTGCATTGCAGTGCCTGTGTACACCACGGCGCTTGTGTGCACCACAGCAACCGTGTGCAACACAGAGCCGCAGTTGTATATATAATGTTACAACGAATCCTTATGACAAAATGGCGAGTCCTTCCGAGTCCGCCCGCATCACCCAAACTCCTCCCATTTCCGTCCAGGAGGCTCCAGCTAAATTGGCCGTCCGAGAACCAAGTGGACCGATTCAATCGACCATTGTGCGGTGCGCGCTGAGATGCGCACGTGCGCTGTAGCGCCAACCCGCACGACAGGGGGTAAGGAGGAGGAGGAAGAGGAGGAGGAGGAGGAGGAGGAGGATGAGGAGGACGAGGAGGAAGAAGAAGAGGAGGAGGAGGAGGAGGAGGAGGAGGAGGAGGAGGAGGACAAGGTGGTGGAGGTGGAGGAGGAGGGAGGAGGGAAGAATGTCGCAGTCGATTATCAGCACATTCCTGGCGTGGCGTTTAGTTGTCCGCAGCAGACCCTCACGTACATGCTCCTTCTACCTGTCCTATGCACGCAGGCGTTGTGGTGTACACCAGCGCTGCGTTGCACGCGGATTTTGAGGTGTATACACGCGATGTGGCGTGCACAGGCGCTGCGGTGCACGCAAGCATTGTGGTGTACACAGGCGCTGTGTTGCACATGGTAGCTGCGGTGTACACATGTACGCCGGCACTGTAGTGTACGCAAGCATTGTGGTGTACACATGCGCTGCGTTGCACACGGTTGTTGCGGTGTACGCAGGCGCTGTGGTATCCACGCGCGCTGTGGTGCACGCGAGGGTTGTGGTGTACGCAGGCGCAGTGGGGCATATCGCCACCTACATGTTGCTCGCGTCGTCGTCGTCGTCGTCGTCGTCGTCGCTCGTCGCTCGTCGCTCGTCGCGTCGCGCGCGCGGGCGCGGCTGCGGTGCCGGAGCCACACGGCGGGGGGGGGGGCGTTACGTCATACCCCCCCTCACTCCCTCCCCCCATGACGCCCGTCATCGCCGAACATAAACAAACGCGCTCCTGTCTGCTCGTGTGCCGCCGCCTGCCATCACTTGCTCTCTGCCAGTTGCTGTGCTTGACATCATCAGCCAGAGATCAGCCTGCCCGCTGCACCGAGCGTCGCTGCATCGAACCGCATCTGCTAGGGACCGGTTCAGAGACTGCTGGCTGCTGCTGCTACTGCTGATGACTGTGTGTACGAGTCTGCTTGAAGCGATGCGAGCACAGTGCAGGGGGCGAAGCGCGGGGCTGCCCAGAGGTCGACGGCGCGCGAGACTGCGGAGCGGCGCGCGGAAAGACTTGGGTCAGCGTCGTGGTCGAAGGTCTGACAGCGGGCGCGGTAACGGGACTGCGTGCGGGTCCGGTGGGATGAATAGTTTGCCCGAGCACGGGCTGGGAGGTGCCAGCCCCTGGCCGGGGCGAGCCGCTGCCAGTGGGCGAACGGCGGCTGGCTGTAGCCTGTGGGGTGCGAGCGAGCTGGCCGGCTTGACGTTCAAGCTGCCGCGCTGGCAGTGAGCGAGGGTGTAGCGCCCCGCCGCCAAGAGGGCTGCCAGATACAGTGGGGGCCATGCCAAGAGACACACTGCCTGCCTCCAGGGTTTCCCGAGTTTCCTGGGTTTTGGAAGGCGTGACGCTCCCACCCCAAAAATCAATGGACGTTCTGGGGGATCAGGGTTGGGTTTCTCGTGGAAGGTGTGTTGTGGACTGGCCTCCACTGTGATGCGCGTGGTGAGAGCGCCAGCTGGAGGCCGTGTGGGGCGAGTCTTGTAGGGCTGCTGCCCCCTGGCCGCCGGCCGCTCCTGTCGGTGTGCGCGCAGCCGCGCAGGCTGCCAGCGTTGCCGGTGCGGCCGGAGCGGCAGCGGAGGCAGTGGCCCGCTTCCTCTGGCATCAGGTACGACAGGTAAGATCGAGAAGTGTCGGAGGCCTAGAGGTTGACACCACCACCAAGATCGGCGGTGTGCCTCCACCGAGGGAAGATGCTCCCGAGCTCGGTGATGGTGGCAACATTCGGGCTTCCAAGGTGGCCGAACTACTGCCACCAGCAACAACATCTAGGATCATCTTATCCCTGTGGAGGCGATCCCCTGTGTTGGTGTTTGTGCCCATTTCCAGGCCTCCAAAAGTGTTCGCGGCGATGCTGCTGAAGATGATCCATTTCGAGCCCAGACGTTTTACATAGCCCACATGTGTAGTCACGTAGTGGTGTGGTGTCGTCTTCGCCGGCTTCACGAAACGTGTGCGACCGCCACCTGATGCAGATGCCAGTGCGGAACGAGATGACCAGATGTTTGTATGCTACGTTTAAGGCTTCGAGAACTGCACAGACAAAACAATGAGTGTCCTTTGTAAGGGGCCCCAATATACTTTGTGGCCCGTGCTGTTGACGTAAGTGACTTGTGAGTTGCTGATGTGTTGCAAATGTTTGCCGCAGCCATGTGTGCTACACCGTTCATCAAAGCCTCGAGGATCCTGTAGGAGTTCAGCAGGGTGCCCTTGCACCTGAAACCGAAATGGGGGCACATTCACCGTCCAGGTGGCAGCTCGTAGCTGCGTCATGTCCGCGCGTCCAAACCAGTCCGACAAATCTTGGTCGTGGCACGATGCCATAGGGCGGGAGTCCCAGTTGTAGAGTTTTTCTGTGTGTTTCTCCCCCAGCTGGCGAAGGCCCGCCACATCTGATTCGAACCCATGTGCCCATGGTGTACCGTGTGCCTTGAGGTGACCGGCTGCATCAATGATCTTGTTGTCTCTTTCACGCTCAGCCCAAATGGTAAAGAACAAAGCCCCAGTCAGCAGCATGGCAATGTGGTTCACGACTCCATTTCTGATACCCCTTCAATTGCAGGGGGGGACTCTCCCAAGCTGAAACACCCGATATATCGGAATGGACAGTTGGTGGATGGTGTGCCATTCAGTAGCAGCCTCCCGAAGCGCCAGACGTGCGTATTCAATCACACTGCTCTGAATGCTAAGCACGTGTTTGGGAGTCGAGAGGAAGGCCTCAAGTGTAGCAACCGCAGGCGCCATAAATTTGCTGATAACGCTGCCTGCGTTCTACAATGAGGGATGCGAGGCTGATACCAGTACCTGCCCATTGGCCAATATCCTTCTGTGATTGCTGATGTCTTGAGGAGGAGGAGGAGGCCGAGGAGGCCGAGGAGGAGGAGGAGGCCGAGGAGGAGGCCGAGGAGGAGGAGGAGGAGGAGGAGGAGGAGGAGGAGGAGTTGGAGGAGCAGCAGGGAAGCTTGTTTCGCACGGTGTGCCGCAGGCCCGTCCGATCCGCCGCTGCGGGCCGTGACGGGTCGCGTCGGGCCCGCGCCTGTCTGGTGCGGGCGCGCCCCCAGACATGCCACGCCCTCGTGCTTTCGATACGGGGCCCCCCCGAAGTCCCGACCGACCCCTTCGGTACGATGTTGAACCTCCTTTGGCCTTGATCACCAGGAAGAGTTTTCCGGCCTCGCGCAGAAAGGGGGTATGGGGGAGGGGGGAAGGCTTCTTAGAAGCACCCCTGCTTCTTAGAAGGGGCGGGCCTTCTTTGTAGATGTAAGGCCGGCGCCTTCTAAGAAGCAGCCTCCTTCTAAGAAGCCTTCCCCCCTCCCCCTACCCCCTTGTGCGCGCCGCCACGTCTTGTGCACCAAGAAAGTAACGTGTCAGGCCCTGGGAGGCGATACTCGCTCGACACTGTTTTTGGGTGTGGTTCTTATGTACGATGGGAGCAACAGAACCCCTTCCCCAGTCGGGGCTCAAGAGACGGGGGTCAATGCAAACGGGGGTTAGTCAGAGCCCTGGATCTTGCTGGATCCTGCAGAGCCAGGGGTGCACTGACCCAGGTTAGGGCGCAGGATCCTGGAGGATCCTGCAGGGGTTTTGCAGGATCCTGCAAGGCCTGACTGACCCAGGCTTGGAATGACCCGGGTCAGCAGATCCCCGACACAGGGCGCTAGTTTTTTAGCGCGAGTTGTTTTTTGACGGTCTCGGGGCCCGGCGAGGGTCCCCAGAGGCCGAAGAGTATTCGAAGCCTTCGGTCGTGACCTTTCACGGCGCGAGCTTCTTAAGGGGGCCTCGAGGCGGCCGGTGCGGGGCTGGGCGCCCGTGGCAGGCGCCGGCGCAGCTCTTCGAGCAGAATTGCGCGGCGAGGAAGCAGTGCAACAGACCGCTGGCGGACTGCCACTGTGCGGGTTTCGAATAATCATAAAGATAAGAACAAGAGAAATACTGATAAGAAACATCATCATGATTCAACATATTAATTGTATGTATAGTGATTGTATGTGTAGTTATGCAGTAACTAATCATCAACAAACATCGGCATTATATCTAAGGGAGAATAACAATACTGTGAACATTATTAAGAAACCTAATCAAAACACGTTCACTACTCACGATACTACTACTACTGGCACCAACATTAGTAATGGTACTAGTAATGGTACTAGTAATACTAATAGTGATATTATTAGTAAGACTAATCGTAATATTGAAAATAGGAGAAATAGTATTAGTAACAGTATTAGTAACAGTAATAGTAATAGTTCTAGCAATCGTACTCGTACTAGTACTAATACTAATCCTAGTACTAATAATGGGAATAGTACTAGTATTAGCAACAGTAAGACGAATATTAATGTAGTAGTAGTAGTAGTAGTAGTAGTAGTAGTAGTAGTGGTAGTAGTGGTAGTAGTAGTAGTAGTAGTAGTAGTATTGATAGTGGTAGTAAAAGTAGTAGTAGTAGTAGTAGTAGTAGTAGTAGTAGTAGTAGTAGTAGTAGTAGTAGTAGTAGTAGTAGTAGTAGTAGTGGTAGTAGTATTATTAGTTGTAGTAGTAGTAGTAGTAGTAGTAGTAGTAGTATTAACGGCAATAGTAGTAGTATCAGTAACAGTGATAGTACTAATGATAGTAAACTGAGTATTCATAGCAACATTAATAACATTAGTAATGCTACTCGTAGCAGTACAACTAATACTATTGTGATTAATGATAACATTGAACAGTATTCGTAACAGTAGTAGTAGCATTATTGGTAGCAGTAACTACCAGTAACTGTAATGAAATACACAGTATTAGCAATAGCAACTGTAATGAACATACGAGTATTAGTATTCGTAACAGTATAAGTAACAGCACTAGTAATAGTTCTAGTCATCGTACTCGTACTAGTACTACTACTAGTTTAAAACTAGGAACAATATTAGTATTAGCCATAGTAAGACGAATTTCAATGTCGTATTATTTTTAGTAGTAGTAGTAGTAGTAGTAGTCGTAGTAGTAGTAGTAGCGGTAGTAGTCGTAGTAGTAGTAGTAGTAGTAGTAGTAGTAGTAGTAGTAGTCGTAGTTGTAGTAGTAGTAGTAGTAGTAGTAGTAGTAGTAGTAGTCGTAGTCGTAGTCGTAGTAGTAGTAGCAGCAGTAATGGTAGCAGTAGTAGTAGTAGTAGTAGTAGTAATAGTAGTAGTAGTAGTAGTAGTAGTAGTAGTAGTAGTAGTAGTGGTGGTAGTAGTAGTAGTAGTCGTAGTAGTAGTAGTAGTAGTAGTCGTAGTAGTATAGTAGTAGTATAGTAGTAGTAGTAGTAGTAGTAGTAGTAGTAGTAGTAGTAGTAGTAGTAGTAGTATTAGTATTAGGAGTAGTATTATTCGCAGCAGCAGTAGTAGTAGTCGTAGTGGTAGTAGTAGTAGTAGTAGTAGTAGTAGTAGTAGTAGTAGTAGTAGTCGTAGTCGTAGTCGTAGTCGTAGTCGTAGTCGTAGTAGTAGTAGTAGTAGTAGTAGTAGTAGTAGTGGTAGTAGTAGTAGTAGTAATAGTAGTAGTACTAGTAGTAGTAGTGGTAGTAGTAGCAGTAACAGTGATAGTACTAATAATAGTAAACTGAGTATTACATTAATGACATTAGTAATGTTACTCGTATCAATAAGATTAATATTAATGTGACTAATGATAGCATTGAACATGCCAATGACGATCACACTCTTTGTCACGTCGCAGCGCGGCAGAGGCAGTCCGCACGCGCTCTCGGGCAAGCTGGGTAACGGCATTGCGAGTTGCCTGGGTGCTCCAGGACAAGGAGGGGAAGAGTAGCGGCCGCGGGGGTAAGGATGGGGATTAGCGCGCTCTTGAAGAAGACAAGCACGGCATACAGCACAACCTTGTGGAGCTCCGTGTGGATTTCTTGGATCTGCGCTGGGGCTCCCTGGCGGCGTCTTTGGCGCCGCCCTTGGCGCGCTCCGCGCGCCAGGGGGCCTGGATCCAAGAAATCCGCGCGGAAGTCGAACAGTTCATAGCAGGTTTCTGTTCATCTAACGCTGCAAGCCTCAGGCAGCCACGCAAGTCAGAGTGGGGAAGGATACTGTGAAGGCCCTGAAGTAGGAGCTGGGCTCCGTGAGGCGCTCCAGCTCTCGGGCCGTTCCCGCGATCCTGATCGGGGAACCTGTATCGTGTCCGCGGGTCGCGGTGGCCAGAGGAGCCCCTTCGCTTCTCATTCGGATGTCCCGACGGCAGCACGATGCGTGTAGGAAATCACCGTCCACAAAACCACCCCAACCCAACCCGAAGGCCCCGATTTGCCCTCCGTTTCCAGTGTGGGGGGTTCGGGGGACATCGAACAAACACATAGGAAGCCCGTACCCCCCCTAACCCGAAATTCGAGTGTTCGGGTTCGCTTGGGAGGGTCTCGTAGGTAGTCAGGAACGGATGCCTTCTTGGGACTCCTTGGGGACCTTCGTCGCCACGGTTGGATTCGTGTCGAGGTTCTGGTCAGACTGCTCTCCGGTAGAGGTCCAGGGAGGAGCCGTGCTTGTTAGTATATTTCAGGAGCGACGGAAGGACGTACACGTACACGAACCCACGTTGGTTTCTACGCATTGCGCGAACGTTTGTATCTCGCGGCCAGTCTCGGTGAGGGGAGGTTGTGTTCTTGTACATGGTTTGGCGCGTACAGTCAGCCCGCACAGTAAGGATGGAGAACCTGCCCAAGAATACCCTTGCATCCTTGCCTCCTCGGTCCATCCTTGGCCACTTTCGTTGGCCGCGCCCCGCTCGAAAAGCTTCGACATGGGTGTCCAAGGTCCTTGCATCCTTATCGCACATCCTTACTATACAGGTTGACTGTACATCCTTTCTGTGGGCTCCCTAATACCTGTGTGCCCCACAGTGTGAGCCATGCGTGCTGCTGCATCGATTTGGGCCAGCAGGGGCTCACCAGTGAGGGCCCCTGTGCTCGTGCCCACTCGCAACTTCTGCCCCCCTCCCAGGAGGAGGAGGAGGAGGAGGAGGAGGAGGAGGAGGAGGAGGAGGGAGGAGGAGAGGAGGAGGAGGAGGAGGAGGAGGAGGAGGAGGAGGAGGAGGAGGAGGAGAGGAGGAGGAGGAGGAGGAGGAGGAGAGGGAGGAGAGGAGGAGGAGGAGGGGGAGGAGGAGGATGGGGAGGATGGCGAGGATGGGGGGAGGAGGAGGAGGAGGAGGAGGAAGAGGAGGAGGAGGAGGAGGAGGAGCAGGAGGAGGAGGAGGAGGGAGGAGGAGGAGGAGGGCGGAGGAGGAGGGAGGATAGGGAGGATAGGGAGGAGGAGGAGGAGGAGGAGGAGGAGGAGGGAGGAGGAGGAGGAGGAGGAGGAGGAGGAGGAGAGGTGAGGAGGAGGAGGAGGAGGAGGAGGAGGAGGAGGAGGAGGAGGAGGAGGAGGGTGAGCCCCTGCGAAATCCAAATCTTTGGGCAGCACGCGGAGGGTCACACGCGGCTGCCCAGCGACCTCCTGATTTGAAAGAGCGTGTTCTACCGCTGCTGGCGGAAAACCGGGGGGGGTCACTACCGGTTCGAACCCCTCCCCCCCCCCCCCCCCCTACCCCCCCCCCCCTCCAGAAAAACCGGGGGGGGTCACTACCGGTTCGAACCCCTCCCCCCCCCCCCCAGCTCATCATGAAAAGGGGGGGGGGTCACTACCGGTTCGAACCCCCCCCCCCCCTCGAAAACCGAGTGGGGGTGCGGACAGTGGTGGGGACGGTGTTGGTGGGGACAGTGGTGAGGGGACAGCGGGACAGTGGTGGGGACAGTGGGGGGACAGTGGGACAGTGGTGGGGACGGTAGTGGTGGGGACAGTGGTGGGGACAATGGTGGGAACAGGGGGGACAGTGGACAGTGGTGGGAACGGTGGTGGTGGGGACAGTGGTGTGGGGACAGTGGGAATGAGGTGGAAACACTGGGACAGTGGAGGGTACAATGGTGGTGGAGACACTGGTAAAGGCGGTGGCGAGGACGGCGGTGGGACAATGGGACAGAGGTACAGTGGGGACAGTGGTGGGGACAGTGGGGACAGTGGTGGAAACAGTGGGACAGCTCAGTGGGACAGCGGAGGAGTCAGTGGGACAGTGGGGACAATGGGGATAGGCAGTGGTTGGGTCCGTGGAGACAGTGGGGAGAGTGGAACCGTGGTGGGAACAGTTGTGGGAACAGTGGGGACAGTGCGACGGTGGTGGGGGCATTGGTGGGGACAATAGGGACGGTGGTGGAACCAGTGGGGACAGTGGTGGTGAGGACAGTGGTGCTGGGAACAACAGTGGGGGATGTGATGCGAGCGGTGGTAGGGACCGGGAGTCGTTTGCTGGCGGTGCGTGGGGGGGGGTCGAACCGGTAGTGACCCCCCTCCGGTTTTCGAGGGGGGGGGGGGGGGGGTCCAACCGGTAGTGACCCCGCCCGGTTTTCCGGATCCGGAGGGGGGGGGGGGGGGAGGGGTTCAAACGGTAGTGACCCCCTCGGTTTTCGAGGGGGAGGGGGGGGGGGGGGGAGGGGTTAGGGGGGGGGGGGTTTTGCCAGGAGGGAGGGGGGGGGGGGTGGAGGGTTCCGGCAGGGGGGGCGGGATTTTCGGAGGGGGGGGGGGGAGACCCCCGGGTTCCGGAGGAAAAGGTTGGCAATTTTCCACAGTAAAGCGGCGGTGGATCACGCTCTCTCCCTGATTTGCATCGTGGTTGCGGCCTTGGGAATCTGTGGTTTACCCACCTCCTTTATCAAACTACCCGATTCGTGCCCTAATCCCTTCTCCGCGCACGGCGACTACTGTTTATATGAACGCTCCACACGGAAGAACACACTTCGAGATACGCAGCATTCTGACATTCTTCGCCTAACAGTGTCGTGCCACGCGCGTCGCACACCTCATGCGCAGAAGTGGGCCACTCAGGACAGCGCCATGCGCCACGTCACGTTCCAGCGCTCTGCGCTCTGTGATGCCATAACGCCGCACGCTAAACGACGCGACGGCGCCACGCGCCACGCGGGCACGCGCCATGCGGGCGCCTTGTGCACTTCCATTCCGCTGAGCACCCCAGGAATTTACGACATGGGCGACAGTTGCGCAGGTCGCCGTCCTCCAGGGAGCCGCGAGGTCCCGCGTGGATTTGCGTGTACGTCCACTCCACAGGAGCTTGCGAAAGTGACGACACTTGCGCAGTGTGCCCCCCCCAGGGAGCCGCGAGGTCCCGCCTGGATCCGCGTGTACTTCCACTCCGCTGGGCCTCCCAGGAGCTTACAAAAGTGGCGACTGTTGCGCGGTTCGCAGCTCCTGAGGGAACCGTGAGGTACCGCTTGGATTCGCGTGCACCTCCACGCCATTGGACCTCCCAGGAACTCACGAATGCCGGACACTTGCGCAGTTCGCAGCCCCCCATGGAACCGCCGAGGTCCCGCTTGGATCCGCGTGTACTTCCATTCCGTTGGACCTCCCATGGGCTTACGAACGTGGCGACCATTGCGCACCTCGCAGCTCCGCAGGGGCCGCGAGGTCCCGCCTGGATCCGCGAGTGCCTCGACCTTCCAAACACCCGGCCAGCGGGGGGGCACAACAAAGTTCCCACCAGTAAGCGCTCGTAATTGTGATGTGTATCTCGGGCGTGGGGGTTCTTAAGAGCAGGACGACGATGATAAAGAAGAGGAGTAGGAGGAGGGGGAGGGGGAGGGAGGAGGGGGAGGAGGAGGCGGAGGAGGAGGAGGAATAGGAGGGAAGGAGGAGGAGGATGAGTAGCAGGAGGAGAGAGGAGGAGGAGAAGGAGGATGAGGACAAGGAGGATGAGGAGGAGGAATCAGGAGGAGGAGGAGAAGGAGGAGGAGGAGGAGGAGGAGGAGGAGGGGATGATGATGATGATGATGATGATGATGATGATGATGATGATGATGATGATGATGATGATGATGATGATGATGATGATGATGATGATGATGAGATGAGGAGGAGGAGGAGGAGGAGGAGGAGGAGGAGGAGGAGGAGGATGAGGAGGATTAGGAAACGGAAGAGGGGCGTGTGAGGGAGGGAGGGGAGAGGAGGGACGGGAGGAGGGAAAGGAGGAGGATGAGGAGGAGGAGGTCCAGTGCAAACCCAAGAGTCGTCAACGGTGTTGGAATAAACCGTCTGTTCCAAGCTCCCTCTTCATTGGCGCCATACATCGGCTCATTTCCACTGAGGGAACTGTTTCGTTGGAAGACATTCGTTTGAACACTCTGAAACACGCCAAGACGTTGTTCTCTGGAATCCACCACCATGGTGCCCATTAGCTTCTCCGTGTCGGTGCCCACTGCGTCCGCTTGCCCTGTCGGAGACTGTGTTTTCGACGTCGTTTGAGCGCCCTCTGGGGCGTTGCTTTTCCTTGCTAGTGTTGGCCCGAAGCGATCGTGGGCACCATGGTGGTCACACTGTGGGCGTCTTGGTGGTCGCCGTACTGGGCGCCAGGCGCGCGACTCGCAAGGCGGCCGCTCGGTGCTCGCGGGTGTACGGTGATCACAGGTGGTCGATGTTCCTGCCGCCGCCCTCCCACTTGCAGGGAGGTCGGGCCAAGCTCGGCTTTGCGCCAGTCGTCGCCAGCCCCGCATCTGGCTCGCTCGGGACCATGGCGCCCAAGGCTCGTGAGCCCGTCCGTCCCGCGGCGGTATGCGCGGTTCGGCGGAGCCCCGCCCGCTGGGGTCGGCGCGGCAAGTGCAATGGGTAAGATAAGAGGTTGTTTCTTCGGCTTGGTTTTGTTTTGAAAGTGCTTGCGGATGGTGCGTGCGTGTGCCACCTTCATTTCTGTCGCGAGCGTAAAGCCGTTGCTCTGGACGCGGCGCGTCGACAGCGCACAAGACGCAACGCCCGCCCTGCCAACGGACGTAATCCCGTTGAAACACTGAATTCGTGGGCGGTCGGGGTTGGCGACACTTTGCTGGACCTCCCAGGGACCGGCGAGAAGTGCGGCAGCTGTGCTGTACACCACGCGGGCAGCGGGGGTGCAGCGGAGAAGGGGGCGGGAACGGAGGTGGATATCACAGTGCTTTGTCCCAAACGAGAACCCAACCACATGAGTCACCACCCACCAAACCACCCCAACCCAACCCGAAGGCTCCGATTTACCCTCGATTTCCAGTGGGGGGGGGTGTCGAGAAACACCGAAAAACCACGTGTGGAACCCTTACCCCCCCCAACCCGAAATTCGGGTCTTCGGGTTGGGTTGGGGTGGTCTGGTAGGTAGTCAATCAGAGTTGGAAAAGGCATGTGGCCGTCCAGTGACGAATCGGGCCCACGGCCTCTCTGTTCTGTCTGCTCTCCCTGAAACTGGCTGCGCTCGGGGCGCTGGCGCTGCCCGTCTGCTCGTCTAGTTATGTCACCCCCGTTTTTTTTTTTTTTTTTTTTTTTTTTTTTTTTTTTGTTGTTGTTTTGTTTTTTGTTTATATAGATATAGGTTTATCACGCCCTCTTATATCTTCGGCGTGTGCCGGTGTTTTCACGGGTGGGTCTTTGGTGCTTCCCTTCATCCTCCTCCCCTCCTCTTCTTTCCCCTTGACATCCTCCCCACCCGCCAACCCTCCTCCTCCTCCTCCTCCTCCTCCTCCTCCTCCTCCCCCTCCTCCTCCTCCTCCTCCTCCTCCTCCTCCTCATCCTCCCCCTCCTTCCCCTCGACATCCTCCCCACCCGCCAACTCCTCCCTCGCCTTTCCTGCTTCTTCCTGCTCTTCCGTCGCCCCTGGCCTCGGCTCTTCGCTCGGGCGCTGTCCCTCCGCCGTGGGGTGCTCCTCTGGCCGTCGTTCCGAGAGACGAGTCTAGGCACTCTTGGAGGGGCAAGGCTCATTGAAGCTCCTCCCTCCTGGGATCGATCTCCTCCAGGATGGCTCCAAGAGCATGCCCAGGAGTCTGCACACATCTGCCCGTCGTGCTTTTGTTTCGCAGCGAGAGGGGGGTGGGCTGGGGATGTCCCGAGCTGCCCGCGGTGGCCAAGCCGCGGCCCGCCCCAGAGGACCGCGACCCCGCCATCCACGCCGTGCCCGAGGCGCAGGCGTCCAAGGCGCGCCCCCCTCGGCATCCTCCCGCGGTCCCCTTCCGCCGCGCGGGTCTCTCCCCTCACTCTAGCACGTGATCGTTTTCTATTCATTGTTTGCCGATCGGCGCGGGCCCCCCAACTTACCAGCCTCGAACGTATCCCTATCCCTGAGATTGACACGCCAAAAGGCGATGACAATCTTAGGGATTCGCCCTCAAAAAAAAAAAGGGAATCCCTAAGATTGGCATCGTGATGAGGAGGTGCCCAGCGTAGGGATAGGGACATGCTCCAGGCTGGTACCCCCCCCCCTCCCCCCCCCATGGAGTAGATCTTGGCTGTTTTTGTTGGGCGCCTGTTTCGAGCGGGCGGGGTCTCCCCCAGAAGCGCAGCACTCTTGCAAACAGACGCCCTAAGCAGGGGTCTGGAGCCAGAGCCCTCCCCTCCCCCCCCTTTCCGCCCAATGTCGAAACGCCGAATACAAATTATGCGAACGGAGTTTCCCACATAAGGATGTTACGGGGTTGGCGGGATCACGAGGGCATGCAAGCAGTGCCAAAAACTGAAGGCCTATGATGTCCACATATTGTCATGGAAGGGCCGATGGAGGCGAGGAGGAGAAGCAGCATGGGGGGGAGGATGGATGTGTAGGACGCGGTCAAAGGAGGCCGCGCTCGGCAGCATGAACCTCAGCAGTGCAGAATGGGCAGTCCGGGCGAGCAAGAGCAGGAATGCCGATAAGGCGGGGAGGAAGGAGAAGAAGGCGTGGAAGAAAGAAGTGGTGATGATGGCAATGGTTGACGAGGAGGATGGTGTCGACGTCGTTCGGCGCCGGGGCCTCCCTGGAGGAGCGGGAGGGGCACGAAACCTTGCAACATAGTGCGGTTTTGGGTACCCTCCTCGCTCAGGCGGGGCCTGCCTTGCGGGGTGGGAGGGGCACGAAACCTTGTAAATAGTATGGTTTTGGGATACCCTCCTCGCTCAGGCGGGGCCTGCCTCCTTCAAGCGGGGCCTCCCTGGAGGGGTGGGAAGGGCACGACGACTTGTAAATAGTATGGTTTTGGGATACCCCCCTCGCTCAGGCGGGGCCTCCCTGGAGGGGTGGGAGGGGCACGAAACCTTGTCAATAGTATAGTTTTGGAATACCCTCCTCGCTCAGGCGGGGCCTGCCTGGAGAGGTGGGAGGGGCACGGAACCTTGTAAATAGTATGGTTTTGGGATGCCCTCCTCGCTCGGGCAGGGTCTCCTTAAAAGGGCTGGGCGGGGCACGAAACCTTGTAAATAGTATGGATTTGAAGTACCCTCCTCGCTCGGGCGGGGCCTCCTTGGAGAGGTGGGAGGGGCACAAAGCCTTGCAAATCATATGGTTTTGGGATGCCCTCCTCGCTCGGGCGGGGCCTCCTTGGAGAGGTGGGAAAGGCACGGAACCTTGTAAATAGTATGGTTTTGGGATGCCCTCCTCGCTCAGGCGGGGCCTGCTTGGAGGGGTGGGAGGGGCACGAAACCTTGTAAATGGTATGGTTTTGGGATACCCTCCTCGCTCGGGCGGGGCCTCCCTGGAGAGGTGGGAGGGGCACGAAACCTTGTACATAGTATGGTTTTGGGATGCTCTCCTTGCTCGGGCGGGGCCTCCCTTGACAGGTGGGAGGGGCACGAAACTTTGTAAATGGTATGGTTTTGGGATACCCTCCTCGCTCAGGCGGGGCCTCCCTGGAGGGGTGGGAGGGGCACGAAACCTTGTAAAATATGGTTTTGGGACACCCTCCTCGCTCGGGCGGGGCCTCCTTGGAGAGGTGGGAGGGGCACGAAACCTTGTACATAGTATGGTTTTGGGATGCCCCCCTCGCTCAGGCGGGGCCTGCTTGGAGGGGTGGGGAGGGGCGCGAAACCTTGCGAATAATGTGGTTTTGGGATACCCTCCTCGCTCGGGCGGGGCCTCCCTGGAGAGATGAGATGGGCACGAAACCTGGTAACTATTATGGTTTTGGGATTCCCTCCTCGCTCGGGCGGGGCCTCCCCGGAGAGGTGGGAGGGGCTCGGAGCCTTGTAATATTATGGTTTTGGGGTACCCTCCTCGCTCATGCGGGGCCTGCCTAGAGGACTGGAAGGGGCACGGAACCTTGTACATAGTATGGTTTTGGGATACCCTCCTCCCTCAGACGGGGCCGCCCTAGAGGGCTTGGGGGGCACGAAACCTTCTAAATCGTATGGTTTTGGGGTACCCTCTTCGCTCAGGCGGGGCCTCCCTGGAGGGGCGGGAGGGGCACGAGACCTGACAAGTAGTATGGTTTGGCAGGTATGGTATAGTGTAGTACGTATGGTATGGTAGGGGCTGGCAGGTAATACGATAGGTATGGTATGGGAGGTATGGTGTAGTATAGTACGTATGGTATGGTAGGGTATGGTATGGTATCGTATAGTTTAGTACGTAATAGTATTATAAGTAAGGTATTGGTAGAGCATGGCAGGTCTGGTATGGCATAGGTGAAGGAAGCGGAGAGGGAGGAGAAGGAGAAGGAGAAGGAGAGGGTGGTTCTAGAAGGAAAACAAGAACCCCACTTGGGATGTGGGGAACAAAAAACGCTCACTACAGTGGGGGCCCATGCCAAGAAACACCCTGCTTGCCGCCAGGGTGCCCGTGCGAGCGGCCGCCGTGCCGTCCCAGTGTTGGCGCCTGGCTATACGTAAGGATTGCCCAGCTTGTACGTGCCAGTACGCCCTGACGGCTAAGCGATTTCGCCCGATTCCGACGGAATGCGATTTTGTTTTTTGGGGAAACATTGCGCGGCAGTCCGATTGCTGCGCGTGTTATTGCAGCGACACGATTTTGATACCACTTGACTACGCGACACCGATAGTGATCCTGGTGCGATCCCAGTTTGGGTTTTCATTTTCACCATTCTGAAACTAGTTGTAGAGACGCAACGAGTGACACATCGCAGTGTCGGCAGATTGAAGTTTGCAGGAAGCTAACCCACAGGAACAACCCGTCACGCGTTTCAGCATTGCGACGCATAGCTTCGATTTCTTTTTGTTCTGTGGTGCAGTGGCGCGCGGTGCGCTGCACCGCTTGGCCGTGCTCTCTTTGCATTGCGTTGCGTTGGTTCGCGTTGCTCTGCGTTGTGTTACATCGTGTTGCGTCGAGCTGTTACGCGTTGGATGTCATGGCACAATGTGTTCAAGAGGCTTACGTTATTTTTCTGACTCCGAGAAGACGATACCCATCGGTCGTTGAAACTAGGTATTTTTGGATTCCCAGATTCCAATCTACTTTAAGCGCCTTCCTACTTCAATGATCGAGTGGCATCACCTCTTCCGTCCTCCTCAGGGGGCAGTCGGAACCCAATCTGCCTTCCACGCCCTCCTGCTTCACCACCCGCTTCTTCCGACCGATGGGTGTGCGCGGCGTGCGATGTTGTACGTATGTGCTACTTGCTGCTTACCGTCGTGCTGCTTGCGTGCAGTTGCTGTCGAGTGGCCGCGCGGCATGGCGGGTACTTCGTGCCTGGGCTTCGTTGGCCTGCTCGGCCACGCGCAGAGGGGGGTTGGGGGGGAGGGGGGAGGGCTTCTTAGAAGCACCCCCGCTTCTTAGAAGGCGCGGGGTCTTGTCAGTAGATATAAGGCCGGCGCCTTCTAAGGAGCAGCCTCCTTCTAAGAAGCCTTCCCCCTCTCCCTACCCACTTATTCGCGCCGCCAACCTGCGCAGTTCGGGAAGGAGCACTGACAGGCGTGGCGCGTCGCGCACGAGTCGAGATGCTTCAGGGGTGACGTCACAAATGGCGGGGCAGATGGGGCATCTCGTGGGAGAGGGTTCCATCGGGCATCTCCGTTTTTTTGTTTTTGTTTTGTTTTCTCCTCCTCGTGGGTGTATCGGAGGCCTTCATGAGAGCCCTCTAGAACAGGGGCCGTCGTGGGCAGGTATGCGGCCGCCTGGGAGTCTCTTGGGCCGTCTCGGGCTGGTCTGGGGCATGTTTTTTTTGTGCGGGGTGATGGGCTGGTGGGGCGTCGATATAATTTTGTCATCCCAGAACTCGGAACATGAACGAGAAGCAGGAAGAGGATGCAATAGGCGATGGCGACGGTGAGAGTACGATGGAGGAGTGCGAGGACGAGGGCAACGGAGATGTTTCTGATGGTTTGGGGCCTCGTCGAAGCCCCCCTTATGGAGCTTCTTTTGGATCAAGAGACTCCGTCGGGGGTCGCCCCTGGGTCTCTTTTGATTACATGCGGGTTCGGGTGGATTCTTGGTGATGGGGTGCGGGAGGGAGCCGATTTGCGACCTGATCTCCCCGGCGGGGCCGGTGGAAATCTAAAAGTATGCATGCTCTTTGCCTCCTCTTGTGATTGGTCTTGAGGGCTTTTCGGGGGCATCTTGGGGCCTCGGGGGTCTCATGGGTTTTCTGGGGGACCTCTTTGGGGGACCTCTTTGGACCTCTGGAAGTCATCTTGCGGTGGAGAACTCGAAACGTCGATTCGTGCTCTCCCTCGTGGTGCTCTCTTGGGGCCCTATTGGGGCCGTCTTGGCCCGTCTTGTGGGGCACTCTTGGGCTGTTTTGGCCCCCGTGGGGGGCCCTCCTGCCTTGCCATGCCTTGCTCTTCCATGCGTTGCACCTTTCTGTATTTCTTTGCGTTGCTTTGCTTCGTGTCGCATCTTTTCTGCATTGCGGAAATCAACGATATTTCGTTTTTTTTGTTTGTTTTTTTTTTGTGTGTGTTAGGTGTTAGGCAGGGGGCTTACCCTGCCTCGAGATGCTACCGCCATCGGCCCTCTTGCGCACAATCAGTCAGGACCATTTAGACAATTCCAGATGCTGAGGACAGAAGGGCCCATGCGCACCGACATCGTGTGCAGCACTCGTTTCTTCCGCGCTGTATCGTCGTAGTTGCCGCAGGGATCGGACTCCTCTCCATCTCTTTCCGTGTCCATGTGTCCAACCTGAACCTTCCACAACGGATCTTTTCAATCGTGCCGATCGTGTTGCGACTGTGGTGCAACAGCGGCTTGGCTTTCACTCGTTGGAGCTTGTCTGGATCCTAGGCTCCCGACATTAGGCCACGCGCACAAGTGTAAGTGGGGTAGGAGGAGGGGGGAAGGCTTCTTAGAAGGATCTGCTTCTTAGAAGCAGCCTCCTTCTAAGAAGCCTTCCCCCTCCTCCTACCCTCCTTTCTGCACGTCGCCAATCCGTGCGCGCCGCCACCAATCTATCTGAAGTTGCGTCCGAACGGGACGCCAGCGCACGGAATCCAGGCCCGAATGGTCGCCGTCTTTGCTTTTTTGTCGTTCGGCCGATCGGCGCGGGCCCTTGGCCTCCCCCCTCCCCCTCCTTTGACGAACGAACAACCCACACCCATACCCACAGGGAGGTCGTTGGGAGGAGGACTGGCTATGGGTATGGGTGCGGGTTGTCGGACCCTGGGGAACGCTCCCGTTCGAGCGGGGACCCCCATCCGACAACACGCACCCATAGCCCTCTCCGATCCCCCTATGGGTATGGGTGTGTGTTGTTGGTTCGTCATCCTTAGACCAGACCAGGTCTCGGCTGCTGCCGGCGGCTGCTTGTGCCGCGACTGGTCAGGACGGGGCTCGAGCCGAGGAGTGTTCTGGCGATGTTTCGTGGGCCGCTCTCGCTTCGAGGTCGTTCTGCAGCAGGGGCGGAGCGACGACGCAACGGCAGAATATGTTTAGCTCGAGCCTTGGGTCAGGAGCTCCCAGTCTCATGACGCCAACATCGCAGAGCGGATTCCGTTCGAAAAACGACAGGGCGGGCCCGGAGTGTCCTGGAACATTTCGTTCCAGACCAGATTTCGAGGTTAACTTCGTGCGGATGTTTTTGGCCAGGAATGAAGACTACAAAGAATCCACGCGAAATTCACCTCGTTTTTCACGCGCCGCTTCGGGCAGAAATCCACGCAGAGATCCGCTGCAGCACGTCTGCAAGGCTGGTGCAATGACCAGTCTGCTGGCGCGACTCGGCCAAATGTCGAAACCCAGAAGAAGACGAACCCCATCATTTATGGAGTTTGTTCTGAAGGCTTTCGCCATTCCGCCGACCTCCCAGAAGAGGCGGGGAATCCACGGTTGAGGCGTCGTGGGCTTCTTGGGCACTACCTGGGGACTGCTGTGGGCGTCTTTGGGAGCTGTTTGGGGGCCTGGCAGAGCCTCTTGGAGGCAGTTTTGAAGCGTCTAGGGAGTCGCCTTCGGGCATCTCGTGGGCCTCTTGGAGGCCCCTCGGGGCTTATTTGGGGCCTCCTCTCGGCCGCTCGGGGGCTTCTTGGATGGAGCTTCCTTTTCAATGTATATATATATATAACAATAATAATTTGGATTCTCGTTCTTTTTTTGTTTTGTGTGTGCGTGTGTGTGTGTTTGATTGTTCTTTTGTTTTGTTTTTGTTTTTTCTCCGACGGGTCGCGGGCGACGAGAGCTCCGCATCCTGCACGCACGCCGACCCTGGCCAGGCTAGGAGGGCGTGCGCACCCCTCCCGCCTCCCGGCTCCGCGGCGTGCCCAGCCAGGGCCGGCGCCCAGCCACGCGCAGAGGGGGGTGGGGGGAGGGGGGAGGAGGAGGAGGAGGGGGAGGGGCAGGAGAAGGAGGAGGAGGAGGCGGGAGAAGGAGGAGGAGGAGGCGGAGGAGGAGGAGGAGGAGGAGGAGGAGGAGGAGGAGGAGGAGGAGGAGGAGGAGGAGGAGGAGGAGGTTGGAGGAGGAGGTCTCAGAAGCACCCCTGCTTCTTAGAAGGCGCGGGCCTTGTCTGTAGATGTGAGGCCGGCGCCTTCTCAGAAGCGGCCTCCTCTTAAGAAGCCCCTCCCCTCCCTCTGCCCCTTTGTGTGCGCCGCCAAGGTGCCCGTGCGTAGAGCTGGCACGGGGACAGGGAGCAGTCACAGTTTTGGAGGGGTGCCCTTCGAGCAGGGGACTTCGACTGCAGAATCGATGTGCCCCAGAATCGATTGGTTCGTGGAGTCTACGACAAATGCGCAGGATGCTCCGTAGAGCGTTCTACGCATGCGTCCGTCGATTCGATGGAAAATCAATGTGTGGGCAAATCAGTTATGTAGTCGACCCCCTACTCGAAGTCTGGGCTCAGGGTAAGCAATTCTGTTGGCGGAAAATCGATTCCAGGGTAAGTCGATTCTGTAGTCGATCCTTCGGTCGCAAATCATGGGAGTTTGGTATACCCTCTGAATTCCGTCTTTAGCGTCGATTGGCGTTGGTCAGCGTTTGGGAGTCGATGACCTGTGCCGATTTTGGCGTCGGTGGGCGTCGACTCAGCGTCGAGTTAGCGTCGATTCAGCGTCGACCAGCGTCGGTTAGCGTCGATGCGCAAGAGCCGACGGAGGAGGAGGAGGAGCAGGAGG